TTGGACACTATTGTAAGTGGAGGTAATATGCTGTCTAAGTAGTGCACCACTAGCAGTGGTTTACCTACTTCACACCGATGGCGAGTATTGTATTTTATTGATGTTATAAAGATTATTCCATTTTCAACATCCGTTTTGGCTATTCCTCATTCAGTAACCCTTTTCTAGGTTACAACAATAGTATTAATGATTTTTACAGTCCGTTCCAAAGCAAAGTGAAAATTCATTGATTCATTCGTTCTTTACGGCTTACCAATCCATTACAGGTTGTTTAAAGCGAGAAAATATTTTTAAATTTTAAGAATTTCTCGAATTTATCTTTTCTTTCTTTCTTTCTCCTAATTTCTTATCTTTTATTTCTTTCGTCGAATTTCTTTCTTCTAATTTCTTATCTTTTCTTTCTTTCTCTTAATTTCTTTCTTTCTCCTAATTTCCTAACTTTTTTCTTTCTTTCTTTCTTTCTTTCTTTCTTTCTTTCTTTCTTTCTTCTAATTTCTTATATTTTCTTTCTTTCTTTCTGTTATATACCGTACTTATGAACACTAATAGGTATATCCCAATCCTCATAAATACGTTGGACACTATAGTAAATGGGGGGTAATATGCTGTCTATGTAGTCCAACAATAGCAGAGGTTTACCTACTTCACGCCGCTGGCGAGTATTGTATTTTAACATTTCATTTTCAACCCCCGTTTTGTTTATTCCTCATTCAGTAACCTTTTGTAGGTTGCAACAAAATATGACACTGTAAATGGTCATGGATTTAGGATAGAATTTTCTTTAAAATGCCATCTTCCGACGTGTTTTCTGTTTAGGATTGGGTTTCCGGTTCCTTCTAAAGTCTACTTCAGTTCTATACTTCTAATGTCTCCACCTGAACACTGAAATTTTATTTACTAATTATTTTTCCTTCCCAATAGAATTAGATGTGTTACCCTATCGTCCGGTTGAAACTACTCCCCAGCCTTTTGAACAAGAGTAGAGGTTTACCTCTTGTTTCCTGTTTATGATTTGGTTTCCGGTTCCTTCTAAAGTCTACTCCAACTCTATACTTGTAATGTCTCCCTCTGAACACTGAAATTTTATTTACTAATTATTTTTTATTCTCAATAGAAGTAGATAGGTTACCCTTGTTATGAATAATCAAGATTGGCCTCCTCTTGTTTCGTTACTCTCCTCTTTGAGAGAGCTATTTCTGTTTACTGGGACTATAAAAGGACACTATACGCGAACCTTGTATTCTCAGTTGAATAAAGCTTTCTTAAAGCCTACACCTACGTACTTTTGTCATTACAAACCTATCGTCCGGTTGAAACTACACCACGGTTTTTTGAACAGGAGTAGAAGTTTATCTCTTGTTTCCTGTTTATGATTTGGTTTCCGGTTCCTTCTAGAGTCTACTCCAACTCTATACTTGTAATGTCACCGTCTGAACACTGAAATTTTATTTACTAATTATTTTTTTTCTTCTCAATAGGAGTAGATAGGTTACCTTTGTTATGAATAATCAAGAGTGACCTCCCTTACTCTCCTTTTTGAGAGAGAGCTATTTCTGTTTACTGAGACTAAAAAACGATACCATACGCGAACCTTGTATTCTCAGTGGAATAAAGCTTTCTTAAAACCTACACCTGCGTACTTTTGTCATTACAACCCTATCGTCCGGTTCCCATACATCATCGCTTTTTTGAACAGGAGTAAAGGTTTACCTATTATTCCTTGTTTATGATTAGGTTTCCAGTTCCGTCATTTCATTGTTTCACTCACAGTAGCTCCTAGCGACTTAATGGCATTATCGCCTTTCTTGGGTTAAATTGATTTAAAAGAATTTTTTGTATCAAATACAAGTGCCGCCTGTAAAATTCATGCCGGTGGGAATTTTTCAACTGGTAAAATTTTATAACCTACAACAAAATAATCGTGCCGCAGAAAAAAAAAATTATTTGAAATATAATAAATGTGCCACAGCAAATAAACACCGTCCCTGAGGAAAAACTGAGACAACAATTTGATCTTGACGGCATTTTTATTTTGTACATAAGAGTGACTTTGAAAGCAAGAATTCGAAATTGCGCATTTGATTGGTACTCGAATACTTGCAATAATAAAAAAAATATATTCACCACCATCTAATACCTCGAATGTACATATGCTTAGCTTAATCAGGTGCAAATTTACAATAGAAGCATATCAAGTGAGGAACAAATTCACCACCATATAATACCTCGAATGTAGATATGCTTAGCTTAATCAGGTGCAAATTTACAATAGAAGCATATCAAGTGAGGAACAAATTCACCACCATCTAATACCTCGAATGTAGATATGCTTAGCTTAATCAGGTGCAAATTTACAATAGAAGCATATCAAGTGAGGAACAAATTCTTAATGGCACGTCATCAATCTCTGTTCTCTACACACAGCAGTCTTTAGGTTATTTCATACTAAATGTTGCCTAAGAGAGCTCGAGATCTTCTAGATTTAAGGTCATTGTTAAAATGGTTATGATGAACAAGCTGTGTGATATGAAGGAAAGAGATGTTTGACAAGAAATTAAGATTATGAGGATAAAAAAGATAGATAATGATTGACCCTTGACGTGAAGAGATCAAGATTAAAGTACTCCCGCGGGAGTCTGTTCCAAATAGTAAGAGTGATTACGGCAGAGAAGCTCTCAGTGTGGGACTTTCGTCGAAACAGAGTAAAATATTAAGGGTTCAATAAAAGGAGGCAGATGAACCAAACTCCTAACTCCGATAGTAATTAGTATAATCGTGTACTTCTAAAATCCACATTACCTACAGAGCATAAATGTTTGCTGAAAGACTAGTGACGCTTATGCAAATGTTTATTGTTCGAAATGATTGGGAAACGGTGAGTGGATCGTTTTCCGATCAGAAATGAAATGAAATACTAGTCAAAAATTAATCTTTTACTATAGTGATTTTCCAAACGTAGCTTCGATGCGGCACACAGCCGAGAGTGTGGAGCACCCAGTGAGGATCGAACTCACTATCCAGTCGTAACCGTTAAAGCGAGACAAGCTTGCTAACCATTACACCACGCCGAGGTTCCCATTAATATTTTACTATAGAATAGTTAAACAGTCTAACTTTTGATCATTGATCGACAGCAGACATCCTGGATGCAGGTGATTGATTGAGTAATTAGTTTTTTTTTTTATCCACCTATTGCAGATTATTTACAGCCAGAAAATATTTTAATAGATTGTATTTTCTTTTTTTGGGTGGGGGGAAATAATTATGATTTAGTCATATGAGTGTCACTAATTAACCCATAGCTGGAGGAGAAGAGGTGGATTCATACAGTTCCCAAGGATATTTGAACATAAGTGAATATAAAGAACTCAACAAAAATTGGAACTCGACTCTCCGATTAAAAATTCTAGGTACTGACCAGGCTCAACTTTGCTTAACTTCGGGGGATCATACGGGAACCGGTGTTTCAACGTGATATGGCTTGATAGCAATAAAATAAGAAAAAATTTATGGCGAGTAAAAAAAAAATACAATAAAGATGAAATAATACAAATTTATTATTATACAAATTCCTTCTCTATTTAAAAAGCTGGTAAGTAGTTTTCAGTTTATTAAAATGTTCCAACAATTTCCCCAGCAATTAATATCATAATTAATTAATATTTCACTTCCTCTCACTTCAGTTTTTTTTCTTCTTTTGTCTATTAAAATGTTCTCTGTTTATATAATAATCAATTTGTTTTTCATATATATTTTTAAATTTTATATTTTAGAAAAAAATTCTAAACAAAAAAAAGTAACAAATAAAATAAAATAAAATAAAGAAAAACTTTAAAAAAATTATTCATTTTGTCTCTATTTTTTCCGTCACTGTCGTTCAGGAAGTCTCGAGTCGATACTTGCTACCGACATTGGAAGTGATACAGGCAAAGACGTTTGCGTAGGCACAACTGTTTCTCTATCAGGTTGGTGCCTCTCTTGTCCTTCGTCCATTTGATCGGCGTCTCTCTCGTCTTCATTATCGGACGAATCGCTGTCTTTCGACTCGTTGTCCAAAGCTTTCGAGTCATTTGTTAATTCGGAAATGCCGTCCGGATTTTCGAGTTTGTCGTCTTTGTCGTCTTCGTTTGCTTTCTGGTCTTTTTGCTGGGAATGCCGCCATTTCATACGGCGGTTTTGAAACCATACTTTTACCTGCACACAAGGAAAAGAAAAAAAAGTTAAACAGTGTAGAGTATAGAGAACGAATAAAAAAACATAACGACATCTGTAATTAGCATAACCATTGAAGCAGTCTCCGAATAGATGAGAGGTCAAGTATTGACGTAAGCTTTATTTTCAGACGATTTGCTTTACGATATTGAGTCCCCCCCCCCCACTGGGGCAACATGTGACACAAGGTCGATGTTTATTGTGAGTATTCCCGAGCCCGTGGGCTCGGCCCAAAAATATTCCCGTTTGAACCCGTATAAACGGGTTCAGGGCCGGTTTTACCTCCCCGAAGGAGATTTCGCCTTCTTCGGGTTCCTCTCCGTCCGTAGACAGAGAGTTGAACCGATCAGTCGCTCAGAAAGTGAACTACTGACGATTTGCTTTACTAGTCGTACTGATTTAAAAAGACAACATTGTTTATAAAGTCGACGAGTATTCGATGAAAATAACTTTACTGGCTAAAGAGAATATATATATATATATATATATATATATATATATATATATTGACTGTTTGAAAAATCCATTATATTTTATCCAATGACTGTTTAAAAAATCCTAAAAATTTAATTATACGAGGTGAAAATGATCATTTACATAATGGCATCTTAATTTTCGAGTGTTAATTATATTGCTCTGTTTATTATTAAAAAAACATTGAGTTCTATGTGTGAATCAGTTTTAATATTTTAGATTTTATATTGGGTTAATAGGATTCTCTTGGATTATATACCAACGAATTACTATATATATATATATGTGTGGGGGGGGGGTTATCTCGCGAGATAATGGTAACACTCAGTTTGGTCAAATTTCATTTTTTTTGTGCTCTCACCACTTGCCCTCCCTCTCGGCCGTACAGACATGATCCAAAGATCCTGGCTCACAAGTATTACCGGAAACTTGTCACTGTTAACAGCCAATCACCATCGGAGCTCCACTCCGGATTTTCTACGTGGATTTACTTCTGCGTTCTTATATGGCCGCAAAGGTAGTGGAGGTTTAAAATAAGAGTTTTCCTTCCCTAAATTGACTGAATTTTCGCGCTGACAAGCTCCAACTATCCGAAGCAGCTGATTATGAGGCGTTAGTATTCCGCCTTTGTCCCGTATTCGGCTTGATTAGTAGTCAGATGTAATTTGAGTAGACTGCCACTGGAGCATTTTAGAGACAATGGGGGCATCTCCCCACTACCACCCCAGCCTATGACAACCCTTGGAACACAGGTATGATGTACATATAGAGATATTACATACATTATGTGATTTAGAAGCAACCACAAAATTAACACACACACACACACACACACACACACACACACACACACACACACACACACACACACACACACATATATATATATATATATATATATATATATATATATATATATATATATATATATATAAATGCTATGCAAAGAACTATCAAAATGACCAGTGAATTTCAACAGCGCTTACGAATCGAATGTAGTACAGACTTTTGTGGTTATCTTTTGGAGGAGGATTCAAAAGTCAGCAACAATATGAAACCTTCTGGTTGCCAGCATAATTTCTACATGCTGACTGTGCTTAGAAGACAAATTGTAAATAACTAGTTTTAAAATGATAGATTTAGGTTATCGGGTTAGCCAAATGCAGACACGAAAGCAAAAATTCATACTACTCTACCGACAACATTATGACCAAAGCCTCAAAAAAATGTCATAACCTGAATCTAATTTAGTATATTTCAAATCCCAAAATTTAGAAGCAAAGAAAATTTATATAAAACAAATAATTAAATAAACTTAAGGTCATGACTATAAATAACCTAAAACATTAGCGCTATTGAGCTGAGAATAGTCGGTATTTTAAACCATATATATATATATATATATATATATATATATATATATATATATACTACACCGGTTAAATATATATGGGACCAAAAATAAAAAAAAAGACATTTCCCAGAAAACTAATCAGGAAAAAGTTACAGTGTATCACAGTAACTGCTGACTGTGCTTAGAAGACAAATTATAAATAACTAGTTTTAAAATCAAAGTTATTTCATAAAAAGATTGAATTCCGAAGTTAATGTAGACATATTAATAATCACCTACTTTATTATATAAGACCAGATACTAAAATTCATTTAAAATGAATATGCACTATACATAATATAAGAAACTATAAATATTTAGGACCTTTTATTATTTATTTACCAATTTTAATTGCTATTACTCTTTCCCATTCGAATGTGCTTAAGGTGTAATAGATAGCAGCCCAGTTTGAGAAATCGGAGAACAGATATTGAATTCCAGTCGTGTTAATTGCAATTATTTATTGGCAAATAGTTGAATGTGTTGTTTTGTAAAAGATTTCTTTTGTGTTCATATAATCTTCTATTTAAATTCCTCGAGGTTTCACCTATGTATTTTTTGCAGCAATCATTACTTCTTCAAGTTTTAACTTATTATTATGTGTTGTATTAAGTCTCCTATTGCTTTAGAAGAAGTAGCAAATTTTATATTAAGCTCAGATAAATTCTTTTAGATAGTAATTGTGGTAGAGTTGGTACGTTGGTATGTATGTACGCGTATCTATGTATATACACACCTATCGGTGTGGTTATTATAAACTGTCTGTTATAAAATAAGAACTAAGCAAGCACAAACATTTTAATAGTCTGAATTCGTGTATTTACTTGTTTACTCTTGGATTTGCTTCAATATGCTACCAAATATATTAGCATTTTGGGTTTCTCTTATTTTTTATTAAATACATCGTGACTTTTATTAACTTTCCAACAGGAAACTAACTTCGTTAAATTCACTAAATATCTTTTAACTGTTTCCACTTTGTGCCTAATACAAAATGGCCAATTTGACTTTACTGAATGTGTAACTTTATTTTTGCTTTATCTCCTTCCCTCTACGTTTTTTGTCTATCCTCATGTCTTTCTTTTTATCACCTTTTCTATTTCTCTGTTAGTTTTCTTTTCTTTTTGTAAATTCATTCATATTTTTTTCTTTCTCTTTTGTCTCTTTTTTCGTTATTTTTTTAGACATTTTCAATCTCTCACATTTTTTTTCTTTCTCCCGTTCTTTCATCTTTTTTTTTTGTCTATCGCCTTTTTTGCCATTGTCACTCGCTATCTTTTGTCTATGTTCTTACATCTTTTCTTTTTTTCCTTTCTAATGCTTCCGACTCTCTTTCTTTCTTTTCCCTTGCCTACGCCTCTTTCTTCCTCTTCTTTTTCTTTCTTATATTTTCTCATGTTTTACCTTTCTTTTTACTCGATTTTTCTTCTCTTTTACTCTGTTCTCTATCTATTTATTTCTTTCTTTCTTTCTTTCTTTCTTTCTTTCTTTCTTTCTTATATAGCTTTCTTCATTTATTCTACCTTTTCTTCTTTTCCTTATCTTTCTTTTCTCTTTTTCTTTGCCTCTTTCTGTCCCTTTCTAGAAGTCTGCTCATTTAAGTTTCATTTTTTAAATATATTTATTTTCACTTCCTACCTAATTTTCATCTTCCTTTTAATAATTTGTAATTCACCTTCGACTTTATCTTTTTTCCTTTCTTTCATCATTTTCCTATGTTTTTATATTGCATTCATAATTTAGCTTTATTTTCGTTTGTGCTAATTCGAAATCTTTCTTTCTTTTTTCCTTCTTTCTTTCATTCCTTTTCTGTCACATTTTTTTATCTCTATTTTTTAATCATCTCTCTTTCTTTCTTTGTTTCTCTCGCCTTGAGATTAATAATAATAATTATCAAGCATGTAAGTTTCTTTCTTTGTATATATTTAAAAACTGAATTCCTTAAAAATTTACAAAATAATATTTTAGAAAAACACTTTTATCTCATTATTAATTTTTTGTTTCTCTGTAAAAAAAAAAGATATTATACTTTATTCTATGCAGTGAAGTCCTTCCTTGTTTCTGTTGAATAAAATCTTCGTTTCTCTAAATTGGAAAATCTCTTTTGTTCTTTTACTATAAACGCTAAAAAAGAAATCATATTGAAGTCAAACTCAATTTAAAAATATTTATTCATGTTTGCTCTTTGAAAACATCGAGTCCCAATGATGTTATTTACGTTAGCAGTTTGCTTTTTATTTCTAAGATAATTGAAGTTTGTAATTTCGGAAACGTTTCATACATTGTTTGATTGAAAATATCTTTAAGCAAAGAAAAAAAACAATTGAAAATGTATTTTAATATCAATATACACAAAAAGAGATGTTTTACTTAACGCAGGTTAACAAACTACACGATATTACATGTTAAATACTATACAACGTTTTCATAATAATCTTATTAACTGATATTGGCAACATTTTCAGGATATATTTGCGTTAAATATTAAGTTTCTTCGAGGCATAAAGTGTTGAATCGGGTTTTTTATTGTTATTAATAAATTGATCTACCCCATAATTACTACACCATGTTTTATTTTATTATGCAAGTCAATGTTCTCACACACAAAAATGGTATTAACCAAATACTATTGGCAAAATTATTAGGAGATACTTCTATATAATAAAAGCGTATGTCAGTGTATCAGTGTGTCACACTTTTTAAACTTTACTCCTAGAGGTCGTAGCCCATCATATTATACCATTTTCGAATCAGGCTGATTACGTAAGCAAATTAAAAATATTCTAGAACGGATCCAGACCCGCAATCCTGAAATTTTAGATTCCCAATTTTTCATTACTGCCATTGTTTTCGGCCATTTTTTTTACCTGATTTTTGCGACGAATTTTTTGTACGATAACAATTTTTATAAAATAGAATGAAATTTAGGAATAATCAAAATTAATTGATTCCAGCGAAAGTCACCCATGAAATAAAAATAATTGTTTGTACGAAAAGTAAGCACCTACGTACATCAAAGTGTTTTTAAATTAAGTGGCGACAGAAGAATTATCGTTGAGCTTTTAAAAGCTAAGCTTAAATATTAATGCAATATTTAAATACAGCGATCAATTTTGACTTCTTCTGTAGTTTATTATTGCCTATCGCATCAACTCCTCCCTACATATTATGATGAAGGCCCAATCAAAAGCCCTTCGCAGGGCGGCTTTTAAGCTAGTGTATTCATATAAATATGCCATGCCAACTTTTATATCACAAATCTTTACAATAACTTATATAGCGAAATATGCCTTCCAAAAGCTAAGCAACGTAAACGGGGAAATTCTGTTAGAAACAAAGAAACTAGTATTGGAATGTCATATAATATCAGGCCTCCAGTGAAGGCTGAACAATCTCATCACAGATGAAGAAAAAACTGAGGTAACAGAAATGTGGTTCTACAGAAGGATACTGAAAATACCATAGGCTGAACATGTTGGCAGCGACGAAGTTGTAAAGAAAATGGAAACAAAAAGGAAACTTACATTTAGAATAAAAGGAGAGAGTTGAAATTTCTAGTGCATTTAATGAGGAATGAGGGCTTGGAAAATATGATACTCACAGGACATACTAAAGGCAAAAGGGAGAGAGGTAAAAAGACTATAACCTACCTAACAAGCTTGTGTAGATAGTTGGCATAACGAAAAAAATAAGCTTTACTAAGAGCTACACAGGACAGAAAATTGTGAAGAGCCATAATCGCCAACGTCCTGAAGGGACACGGCACATAGAAGAAGACTTGGTGCTATTTTTAGCTACAGATATATAAAGATGTGCCGTAAGAAAGTTTAAGAGAAAGAATATAGTGTAATGTAACGGGTGATTAGAACAGAACGTTTGAATCTGCGAGATCAAAGAACAAATCTAAAAGAAGCTGAAAACATTGACAAGAATAAGAAACGAATTTTACAAAACGATTTGTGTTGTAACCAAGAAAGGGTTACTGAATGATGAATAACCTAAACAGAGGTTGAAAATGAAATGGTAATCTTTATAACATTAACAAAATACAATACTCGCCAGCGGCGTAAAGTAGATAAACCACTGCTAGTGGTGGGCTACTTAGACAACATATTACCCCCGACTTACAATAGTCTCAAACGTATTTATGTCGATTAGGACATACCCGTTTGTGTTCATAGGTACGGTATATAACAATATGAAAGAAAATTGAAGCTGTAATGGAAGAAAATATTTCAACAAGTTTTTTTTACAGTAAGGTTTCCCCACCCTGTATAAGGTCCGAGTGCCACATGTGGTAGAAGGTTAAGAGAGAGTTTATATAGATATGATGGGGAGACAACGGTTGATCTTAGACTTGAACAGGTAAGGTTGTAGTGATCAGATAAACATGCTCTTGGGTCTCTGTTCCACAGAGCTGTGGCTCGCGGGAAGAATCTGTTCGAGTGGATCTAACCGATGGAATACAGAAGGAAAGTGGGTGTTTTGCTACAATATGTGTCATGGCGTGAAGGTTAGACCTGAATCAAGGAATGTTCGAGCACTTTCTATGGATATAGCGATAGAGCAGCGAGGTGATGCGAAGGTAAACAGAGAAAAAAAAACAGAGCTAAAGGTGTAAAAGCAATCAAATTACCAATTTTAGGTAAACAACAGAAAGGGAAATATATACGTAATATATGTAAATTTAGCGAATTACCTGAATTTTTTTTTTCTCAACATTAATTTTTAGTGATGTAGAATTACAATGGCTGAACCTAATGACTGGACTAGAATTTAAATTCTTTATGAAAATTGCTAACACGAACTGACAAATGTGAGGTGGAGTAACATGTTGAGCTAGTATTGTAGGTAGTAAAATTACAGGACTCTTAAAATTTATGATTCCAAGCTAAGAGCAGATGATTACTATGAGTTCTTAGACAAGACCGTTTTTGAGAGATACACGCAAGAGGCTTTCAGCTAAAGAGCATTTCAAGACAACGATTCTTTTACTTTCTGCAATGGTTAACAAATATTCACTTTGTCAAAAACATCAAATTAATAGAATGGCCTTCAGCTTATACAGATATTAATTCTGCTGAGTTTGTCTATATTTATGTACAGTATTTACATTAGTCGGACTATTGTCCTCATCTTTGTCGCCATATTTGTCACAACGTTTCGGCCGTTGTACGCTCCGGCCTTCTTCAGGTGGTTGGAATTTCGAACTGAACCCTTTATTTCGATCGCTGGGGTAGACTGTTCTAATTCCACGTGCCATGTTTGATGGATGTCAGTTATCTCCTGCTAATTTTCCCTCTGAAAGTTCTCCACTGCCTTAACCAGGAATTGAACTCACCTTCTTTGGGTCTGTCACTGGATCTAACCAACGCCTTTATCCACTGTGCCATGTGTCCTTGAGGACATCTGGGTATGAACTTCTGAGTATTATAAACCTAATGGCACGTGGAATTAGAACAGTCTACCCCAACGATCGAAATAAAGGGTTCAGTTCGAAATTCCAACCACCTGAAGAAGGCCGGAGCGTACAACGGCCGAAACGTTGTGACAAATATGGCGACAAAGATGAGGACAATAGTCCGACTAATGTAAATACTGTACATTAATTCTGCTATTCTCAATATCCAACGGTAGAACCTCATCTCTTCAAGACTTTTCTTCATCGCCATACACGAGCTTAGATATTACATAGCAGCCCGCCACTTTTTTCTATTTTGTTTGGATTTTTATCCCTTTTTACCGATTTCTTGAAAAAGCTCCTTTCGTTATTCCTACGCACTATTGGATCTAATAGGTACGGAATTATAAGCGCAAATAATAATAATAATAATAATAAAAAAATACCGAATAATTTATTTCAAAAAGTTTATTTTTATCTCTGCCTGTCATTTTCTAGAGAAAGGTAAGAAAAAGCATCTTTAAAATCATCAATTGGCATTTTAATTATCAGCATTAAATTATATCAGGCATTTTTTTTAAATTCTTCCCGACATTTTACATTTTAACTGCAACCTTCTTTCCGCACCATACCGTCTCTCGGCCGTTTGTTGCAGCGATGCTTCTGTCTCGTTGGGAGGTCTAGACCGAGAAGATAACCACATGGGCTGCCAAGCAGACAGACGGACAGCGGACGCATTCAGCAGATAGGAGGAATGGTAGGCAGGCCTGTTGCCAAGGGGGCCTCTGGGAAGGGGCTTGCCGCAACAGAATATCATTTCCCCCACCCACTGTAAAAATAATGTTAACTAATTTTAGTATGCAAATTCTAAGTTGCCCACCTCACTGAAAACACTGGCGACGGGACTGATGGTAGGAAACTGACGGTTGTTATTCACTAAGCTTAGTTTAGTACAAGTTAACAATTCTAGAGTGAGGATCGAACTCACTGCGCACTAGTAATTAAATATGGTAGTTTAGTTTGCTAGACATTACACCACGTCGTGGTGCCCAGGTAATTCGTATAGCCTGAAGATAGATGAGCTACGTGAGGCTAGAACTAGACACACCACTGTTGTTATGACTGCAGTATATGTGGTGACCCTGCGACCCTGATGGGTATTCGGGACATAGAGAATTTATATAAGCTGTACATGCCGCAATGTCGACCGCTTGATCCTTGCAAATTATTGGCGCATCACTATCTTTACAATTACTACACTTAACTTCATAGAGCGAAAACAGGAAAATAGCAGTCTGTTACGTTATCTTCATTTTTTTTCCTTTTATCATCTCACCCAAGCAAGGCAATAAAGTCACTAAGACGCAAAGGGTTACGGAGTTTGAGAGAATATGAGAAAAAACACTATTAATAAAAGAGAACAATAAAAGAACAATAATTAAGAAGACAAGATAATAATTAGCATTGCATTTAATTTTTTGAAGATTAGCATTGATTGGAAATTAAGAAACCGGAAAAGAGTTCCACAAGTAAGA